AGGAGATAGTTTTATCGTCCGTGAAAAACGAAGCTTCTTCAATTATTGGATTATGTCGCGAGCCCTCACTCGGTTCTTTCAACCCTAATCGTACCACGTGTTTTTATTACGAATCATACCACGATGCGACTCTCAGTCACTTAGAATAAAAGGAGTGATTACAATTTTAGAAACCCAAAACAATTTTTGGAAATGCAGTATGAAATAATCAAGAAGTTTAAGTAATCAGTTCAAATGTCACTCAAAGTCATATTGTGGTCTGATTAAGGTTAAATAGAAATTGTTCACATTGAATCAACCGGTGCGTTCGTAGAACTTTTTTGGGATTAATTGTGGTTGATGATTCTCTTGGTTATTAATAGAATGTTTAAACGTGTCCTTTGAGTGTGTAGTTCCTTTTAGTTCCTGTAGTTTGGAAAATGTTTACCCTTGACAGGTGACTCTCAGTCACCGTTTAATTTGATATAACAAAATCACAAAGTGTTATATATAATATTAGCCTTTTGCACTCGAAAGTTTTTCACTAGAAATATTTGAACATTTTCAGATGAGATAAAGACGGTATTTTGTGAAGATAACTCGAAGAGAAATTATACGTACATTGAGGTACAAAGCTGTTTTATTTCAATATTTCTGAAATCGATGAGTTATGCAAAATATAATATTGTAGGAGAAAGAGAATTTTATTTGAAACAGTATAATTATTTCTTGAAAACTCACAATAAAACAATAACAAAATCAAACAACGCACACACTATTTATACACTCAGATGCTCTTGTCTCACTCGCACACTTTCTAGAACATTCTTTCATTGCCACGCATTAACTTCACGTATATTTGGAATATTCTAGATTCATAAAAACGAACATTATTAACATAAAAATCAACATAGAGAAAATCAATATAATCTAGAATATTCCAATGCTTTGAACATTCATTCAAAACGCGCTCACACACACAGTCGCGTCATTCATCTATTGCACACACATTCATCACTCATCAATATATCTATTCGCACACTCAAATACATCCATTCCCACAATATTAAATATCAAGTTTTATAGTTTCGCTGTATGAAATCAAGTGAGTGAGTCACCTCTCGAGTGTAAAGGGTTAAGTTTCATATAATACATCAATACGTGAAATACTTCTATAAAACAGTCTCTTAATTTTCATGTTTTCTCATTAGTTCCTTTCAATAATGTCCATATCTCAAAGTACCGAATGTTTCTAGGTAAGCTTCCAAATACAAAGTGTTAAACATATCTTCTCCCCCAATTTGCTAACCTTCGATTTCAATCGCATCATTTATAATTACTTTCTAAAACATCACACATATTCTACAACCTCCCCATACAAACTCTCCCAAACATTCAGAATCATCCGTATAATCACGAACGACCACACATCCAACAACATTCAAAATCCACCTCGGAGCTAGCACTCCGATCCGAAGATTTTCTGTTTCATTATGATAAAAGTGGCCGAACGAAGATCGAATGTCCCCGTACGCCGACTGGCGTACAATTTTTCGCTACTGAACGGATTAGGTTTCCCCGCTCGGCCCTCCGCGCGAATGAAATATTCATCCTTGCAGGCGCTGTCTTACTTCGAGAAACACGGATGGGTCGAGCAGTTCGAGCCGCCGATGTTCAGCGACGACGGGGACTCGTTCCTGACGATCCTGCCGCAGAAGCAGAACAATGACAGCCACTGGAGGCACGTCGTCGCGATCACTAACGTCTCGTCGGGCAAACCGGCTACCGCCGCGCTAACTTCCGGGTATTTCGTCGTTACCGAGATTGTTTCTTGGGATCAGGTGAACTCCTACTTGTAAGTACACTTGAAAATTCGATTACTTAACGCCTACGACAGAGTGTTATCCCTTGTAAATTCGATGCGAGATCGTTGGGAAGTTGTTAGGGGATGATATTCGGCTGGAAGTCGGGGGATTTCAAATTGGGGTGGCTCGGATAGGGGATACACGTGTTGCTAATGTTTACGATGAGGCAGCAGTATTTTTTGGATATATCTTGTCCGTTGTAGCGTGGGAATTAATATTGATGGATCATATCGATAGAGATACGTTCTTTTGAATCGTTAATGAAGATTAACACTGAACCCGCCGAACGGTCGAACTGACTTTTAAATTTTTCTATGGAAACTCCGACAGCGCTACCATTGAGATTTCTATTGATTTATGATTCGGTTTGCCTAGTGCTGAATTAATTTCTGTCGTAGTTTCTCAGAGTTATCGGTTATGCTTTTAATGATTAAAGAAGCAATCAGGAATCATGACCTCTTTGGTAGTTCTAGGGCTAACTGATTTTGTAGAAGTTAACCGCTGTTTTTGTATGGATTATGAACTATGGATATTTTTTATTTATTTTTGGTATTTCCAATGGAATACGTAATTAACGTAAGAACTTTCGTTTGAGAGTGGGAAGTATAAGAATTTTTCGGACAATTTTTGGGTTTTTTGGTGGTATTCGTTTGATGAAGTTGTTAGTTAGATAATGTATTATTTAATTACTTAGTAATGTATATAGTTCGTCAGACAAGTTTTCCTCTGTTATTCTCGGCGAACGGTTTAACCCTTTGAACTCTATAGGCTCCAATATTGCAGCAGTTATAATATTAAATATTTTAATGAATCAAAGAAACTACCCTAAAATTATTAGATTTTCCACACATCCAAATTTTCTATTGAGAAGGAAACTAAAAGATCGAAGGAATGTTTGCATTTTTCATTTTTACTGGAGATACCATAAAAATTAGTTGCAGTTGTTGATAAATTACAAAACCGTCTGGAGTACTAAGGGTTAAACGTTTATTAGGGATTCAAGCACTAACAATTTCGGATGCACAGGTAGTTCAGGACATAACCTACACCGGATCGAGTAAAACATGTACGGAACAATGGCTAAGTTGACCAAAACCGTCTTGGACCCGGTATTAGTTACGATCCCCCATGAAATTTGCATTTCGAAGGGACTTTCGAACATTCGAACCCAGATCAGGCCCAGCATCCTTAGAATATCCTGAATTGTGCGAATGCATTGGTAAATCCACTGAAATAATCTCGGCATCTGCGTCCGGTGACACGTATTTTCGGAAAAAAACACCCGATATTGAACCGTTCAATCCGCGATTCTTTTTATTTTTCCAAATATACTCACTCCCGGGCGTCGGATTGTATTTTCCACCTCGGAACATTCTACAATAAACATTTTCATTCGAACGCGGAAAACTGTGCGCAAAAGTCAATAATGGTTTTCCTGCATTCTCGGAATATTTATCTTCCGAACGCCAATATAAAAGAGAGTTAAAAAACGCATCATGTAACATTGATTTTGATGCCTCAAATTTCCGATTTCGAAACTTCAGATTTTGAATTTCACGCTTCATAACTTTCACATTTCACGTTTCACATTTCAAGTGTCGAATTTCATAATTACTACCTTTAAATTCCATATCTCATAACTATAACCTTTAAATTTCAAATTTGTAATTATAACTTTTAAATTTCAAATTTTACATTTCAAATGACAAACTTCATAATTGCAACCTTTAAATCCCAAATCTCATAACCATAGCCTTCAAATTCCAAATCTCCTAATTACAACTTCTAAATTTCAAAATTCACGTTTCAATTTTCAAATGTCAAATTCCATAATTGTAACCTTCAAATTTCAAATTTCACAATTACAACTTTTAAATTTCAAATTTCACATTTCAAATGCCAATCTTCATAATTACAACCGTTAAATCTCAAATCTCCTAACTACAACCTTCAAATGTCAAATCTCACAATTAAAACTTCTAAATTTCAAAATTCACATTTACAATTTCAAACATCACAACCACAACTTTCACATTTCAAATTCCACACTCCCAACCCTCAAATCTCCAACATCACAACCACAACTTCCACATTTCAAATTCCACGCTCCCACCCTTAAAATATCAAATTCCAAAATTGCTATTCATTAATTCGCAACCCCAATTACCCAACGCCGTATAACCAGCACCATCCACAATGCAGAATCCCATTTTTCCCGGTGGCAAACCGGGCGACCTTAAATCTCGCCAGCAATCGAGGAGTCGAAGCGTTCGGATATCGACATTAAGTACACGGACTTACCCAGGTACTTTCCATTATTTCCCGATAAAATACGGCTCATAAGGAACGATATTGGACCGGTGGCGGCGCGAGGGGGACGCGATATTGGAGATTCTCGTAAAATCACGTGGGCAAAGCAGAGGCAGCTCGGCGTTCGTTCGGCCGGCGCGGCGGGGGCGGCAGCAGCCATCCAAAGAACGTTATCATTTATCACGTAAACGCACCGTTAGGCATTGATACTGTGCCCGGCCCACCTAATTCAATCGCGGCCTCGCAGAAGAAGTTAAAATGACATTCATCATCGATTAAATTGCGCGATGGAATATCTCGACGCACCCTCGTCACGCTCACCCCCCGTTGAATCCGCGCGCGGCAGAGATTCCCTGTAAAAATCGTATCTCGTTCGGTGAAATTTCACCGGTTAACCGAAGTGCTTTGTGAACGGGGACGAGACGCGCGTTTTATTAAAATAATATTCGCTGGCGGTCAGAACGAAACCCATCGGCGTGTTCGCCGGAACTGACAGTTATCTCTACCGGGATTCCACAGTTTTTCAATTTTCTTGTTGCTCTCCTTT